GAGGGAAATGGAGTAGTTCATGTATTAAAGAAAAACTGAATACAGGATTTGAGTTGTTAATACATGAACTAGCCCCTTCCAGCCCTGGATCTGATAGGGAGATGAAACTGGGATGTGGGCCCCATAAACAGTCCCCTGTTTTCTTTGCAGGCTCTCTCCCAACACCATGGTGACACCCCACAAGAAGAGTATGCTGGGGAATGGCAACTACGACGTGAACGTCATCATGGCAGCGCTGCAGACCAAGGGCTATGAAGCGGTTTGGTGGGACAAGCGCAGGTACTGAGAAGTGGTGCAGCTGGGAAGCTTCTGGAGACACTGTTCACAAAACAAGGAAGAGATGCTGCGGAAGTACCAAAATGTAATCTTACTGTTGTCTGTTTCCTCTGCTGTTTCAGAGATGTTAATGTCATTGCCCTGTCTAATGTGATGGGCTTCATCATGAATCTGCCCTCCAGCCTTTGCTGGGGTCCCTTGAAGCTCCCCCTCAAACGACAGCACTGGATCTGTGTCCGGGAGGTGGGAGGCACCTACTACAACCTCGACTCCAAACTCAAGATGCCCGAGTGGATTGGAGGTGAAAGTGAGCTCAGGTGGAGATATATATATATACTTTTTGTTTTCTTTTTATCCTAGCCTTCTTCAAATTCTTTCCTGACGGAAGTGGAGAATCTGTCCTTAAAAAAATAGTGCTTGAGATCTTTATGGCTGAATTCCAAGAGCGAAAATTAATGAGTAGTGAGATTTTTGTGCCTCCATGTCAGCTTATGTCCATTTTGCCTAAAACTAGGGAAATGCTTTAGCCAATAGCTCAGTAGAGCCTGACTTTATCTTTTACATGGCTGTCTCTGTCACTGCAATGAATGTAGAGGTCAGGTCTGATAGCTAGCTGAGCTGCCTCTGTGAGATGTGAGATTACCAGCCAGCCTTTACCTCTTTGCTAGTGGGGTGTGTGTCTCTATGTTGCCAATAAAAATCCTTCCAAATGAAAAGTGCAGCTGCAGCCTTATTCTTGACAGCAGTAAAAGCTGCTTGCTAGGAAGAGTTTGCCTGTATTGCATTTCTTGCTCGACTCTGCTTTCTCCTTCAACCTTAACACAAGATTGCTGATATAACTTGCTTTGATTGTAAAAGACAACCTATTCCTAACTGTTATTTACCTCCATCTCATCTTCTTCGACAGTTACACTAGCAGCTTTGCTGTCTCAGGCTTGTTCTAATGTAAGGGTTGCATGTGAGCCGTATTTGCAGAATCTGCCTTGCCTTTAAATCCTTGGTAAAGTGAATGCAACCCTGTTGTGAACTTCTGGGATAAAGTAGTACAATTCTTTAAAATCCACCAGCAGCTATGCAGATTATCCTGGGTACACTGCTTATCGGCAAGCAATAAAGACTTCCTTTATAGATAATTTTAGAAGTCTGGGCTGAAAGATACTAGAGAAAACTTAGATCTGACTTGCATAATTATTGAAGACAATCCAAGTTTCTTATTGGAAAAGGCTTAGAGGCAAAGAGGCACTGCAGAACCAATTCAAATCCCAGGTCATGTGCTGCTGCTATTTGATAAGAACATCTAAATGATGATTTTCTCACAAGTGTTCCAGATCGGTTGGAATTATTTTGTAACACAGTGAGGTTCTTTAACTTGGAGACCTGAAGGAACCAAACTTCTAAATTCTATTCTATTTTGGTCACCTCAAGAGAACAAAATGTCCTTGGAAAAATTGGAAAGTGACATCTGTATACTCAGTTAAGGAGGTTAAGATCATGTCTAGTTCATTCTACAATAACTTGCTTGGTGGAAGTGTTTTGGATTCATTAGAGTTTAATGTGCATTTTGTTCAAAGATAACTAAAAGTGCAGGGGAATTCTTTCACATTTCTTGTGTTTGCATGGTTAGTAAACAGGAGTCTTGAAGTTCTGTATGTGGGAAGGGCCGTTACTATATTTTGGAGGAAAAAAATTAAAGAGCTCCATGTTCAGTAGTTTATTTCTGTTTCTCACTCCCATAGGAAATTTTTGAAACACCAGCTGAGAGGAAAAAACTGTGAACTGCTGCTGGTGGTGCCCGAGGAGGTGGAAGCACATCAGAGCTGGAGAGCTGACGTGTGACATGACCTGGACCAACTCTATCCTCTCACTACAGCTCTTCCCCCTCACCAACCCCCCAACGTCCTGCAGCCTGGATAACGGGTGCCCCCGGTCTTCTCTTCTGGAACTTGCTTTTGTTTGGCTCTTTTCTTTCTTCTTGGTGCAATAGGGCAGTGACATAGGATATTGGGGAAGGTGTTGGCGGGGGGAGAGAATTAATGGCAGAGTGGAGGAAACTGGAAGCCAATCACTTTAATTGCAAAGGCAAATGAGCTGCATGCTCTCAAGTTAACTAGAATGCAGTGTGCTCTTCAAAACAGGGCGTTGAGGCCAAGGTGCCTGGAGTTTGCTGGTCTCCCCCTCCCCACGCCTTGCAAGGCTGTGTGTGGACACTGCTCCTGCTGGGGCTCACACCAGCTGCTCTGGCTGGAGTTTGTCTAGAGGAAGTGTGGGGCCAAGCACCCTCCTCATCTTCATGAGCCTCTCCCTCCAAAACAGCTGTGAAGATGTTTGCAATTCAAAAGGGTCTCTCAGGACACTTTCAAACACTAAGAGTATACTGTGCTCAGCACAGCTCTACTGCTTTGGGATGGTTCTTGCCAGGAGTTAAAGGACAATAACAAAAATGATGTCATCTTTCAAGAAATTCTTTGGGTAGGTGGAGGATTCTACCACAGTATCTCCAAGGATTTATGTACATAGCGGAGCAGTGGTTTGGCAATATGTGGCTGGCAAGAGCAGTGTGGAAACAGTAGCACAGGCTAAATGAGGAATCTGGAGTTTCTGAACTGAGAAAGGCTGTGTCCTGTTTGGGTTTCTCTGCAGTGTTGGGTGTTTCTGTTCTCTTTAACATTTGATGATCTTCTGGTTTCCTGCATGGTTACCTGGTAGTTTAGGGGTTGCTTGAAGAAAGGAATAAAACTGAGGGGGATTGGAGAGGAATTCATTGCCTGTTGTTCTCTTTCCAGAAATCCAACCTGCAGTAGCTAAAGTCACACAAACTGTCCCAAAAGGAAGCCTTTCTCAAAGGAAGACTTTCTCTAAGCAAGCTCAAGTTCTGAAGGAAACTCAGCTGAGGATGGAAGCCTTTATAATGGGCACTTTCTCCCTCTTTATAGCTCGTAGTAGCTAGTGTGGGAGACGCACAGGGTCCAACTCAAGTCAATGGGCATTAGGGACACTCCGGCACAGTCACTGAACCAAGTTCTTTGTGGTGACTGACAAACATTCCGTTGTGTCACTTTTTCTCCTTTCCTTCCTGGGAAAAGTGACTAGATGGGGAGACTGTAACCAGAGGCTCCATCTGCTGTTTCCCTGTAACCTGGGTGATCTTTAGCTCAGTTACTCCTTCCTCAGCAGAGTGAGGAAATGCTGCAGTTTGGATGGGATTAATGTGTTGAGAGCTTCCTGGCTGTCTGTTCCCTCCCTGACACATCCAATGTCTTCTCTTTTTAACTGGTACTGCCAGCAGAGTAGAGGAGCTGAGGGATCCTGCTCCATTCAGAGTGAAACTCATTGCTGGTGTTTGAGCTTTTGAAAAGAGGGTGGTTTTAACTACTTTTTTTCTGAAGTTCCTTGAAAGATCCGCAATGTGTGAGCTGGTGTTTGAAGCGGGAGACCACCAAAATGGGGCTTTAGCAGAAAAGGGGCCCTGTGGCAGCAGGACAGGGATGGCGGGTGCTGACGCCTGGACATCCAGCAGCGCCATCTCGGAGTCTTTTTGAGCACAGCCACCTGAAGACAAGGCCAAATGGCTCTTAGGTTTTAAAAAACTTATTGTTTCTATAAAAAGTCCTGTTAACACATTCCAACGACCAATACCAGCTGGTAACATTTTTAAACACTTTACAAGCAGAGTGCAAGGGGTGTAGGCATTCTGCTCATGACTTGAAGCCATTTCTTCAAGAGGGGAAGGAGAAAAATGAATCTCAACAACAACATATTCTATGTTGATTAAAAGCGCACTTTGAAGAAACTCCGTTTGCATGAAAACTGCAAGCCAATGGATCAGTGCACAATATGCAACTATGTTTTAAAATTCTTTGGGGCTACTTTCCTCTCCTTGTATGTCAGCACCTTTCCTGTGGGGGAAATTACTGTGATCCAGCTGCTCAGGTAAAGGGAAACTGCATGATCACATCCTGCTGGGAAGCAGCGCTGCAGTGACAGACAGCGGGGGCAAACCAATCCAGGCCCCCCCACTGGGGAGCGGAGAAGCCCACATTTGTTTTCTTGCTTGTTTGGTTTTGTTAGAGCCTCGTCTGGGTTTGTTTACAGAGATGTATTTTGTTTAACCAAATATTAAAAATGGAAAAGTTTCCATATAAATGTCCTATCACTTCTGTATGTTTAACTGAATTGTTCTGTAACAAAGTATGTAAAGGAAAAATAAATTTTTTTCTTTGGTTATAAAACTGGAAGTTGGTCTCTTAGAGTGAGGTAGAATTGGAATAGAGGCGCCACCTGCCATACTGTGCCATGAGGCAAGAAAGGAACTGAGCCTCTCAACAGACATCTAGTAAAATCACACTTTTCGGGTTGAATTTATTTAATATTCAATACAAAAAAAAAAAAGCATCAGATCAGCATAGATGTGATGATCTTCAAGCCAGTCTGCTGCTCTCTTGGTATTCACGCGCACACACACACATGCATGAAACTGCAGTGAACGCATCTGCACCCACGTCTTCCCAGAGACTCCTTTCCCCAGGCACAGATGCCTGCTGCCCTTCCTTCTCTTTGCCTCCTCCTCCTCCTCTCCCTGATGTCCTTTGGCCTTGTGGTAGCCAGCAAGGATTTTTCTTCGAATTGATGACTTGAAGCCTGACTTGCACCCCAGCATGGAATTTTTTTTATAACTGTTATTTGAGTGGACAGGAGTCTCGAAGAGAAACTCCTTTTCAAGTCTTTGTAACTGGTTCTGACATACTGATCAAATAAAAGACTTGTGACTTCTATGGGGGAAGAACGCAGACAGGAGCCATCATCAGGTCCAGAGAGGAGACTTCCCTCTACATTATGAATAGGTTAATGTCCCAAAGTACAGCCAAAAATAAAAACAAACAAAAATGCCCTGGCCCAACAAATCAACAGTTCAATCTATCATAATCTCAAGGTCTTCCCACATGATACAAATCCAGCGCAGCCTCTCCAAATTAAATTTTTCCAGGAAAAGGAGGCAGGGCCCCTGGCATTCCCCCGGAAAGCCCTGTGTTGGGCCCTAGTAGAATCTGTAAGAGAAGAAGCCAGGTCAGTTAAAGAGCTACAAAGAGGAGCAGCCTGCTCCAGAGAGCTGCAGATACAAAGTGCGGCAGTGCTGGGGGGATCCACCCGATTACTCATGGAAATGGCAGGGGATACAAAAGCACCCTTTGTATCTCAAATACAAAGCAGAGGAGACACAGGAGAGGGAAGACGCAGAAGAGCACAGGCAGCACCCTAGGCCTCCATTTCCATTTGTTCTGGATGAACCTCCTGACAGCAGTGGGAATTCTCCTCTCTTTGACCACCTGGATTTACACTGTCACCTCTGCGCTGCCATTAACCATAAAAACAGACTTGTGCTTCCTCCAGCAAGGGAAAGAATCCGATCAGAGCATCTAGGCAGGGGGATGAACGGGACTGTAACACGTAACAAGTGACCCTCTTCCTGTTTTTCTGCTCCTGGATAACCACAGGGGCAGGCAGGTAACTGGAACCTGTGGCTGGACCATGGCTGGGGAGGGCCCTGGCACTCTGGCCTCACCTGTCGTTGCTGCAGCTGCTGCTGCTGCTCCATCTGCAGCTTTTCGGTTTCAAATACCACGGGAAGAACCAGAATCATGAAGGAGGTGGTCCCGATCCACAGAGCTGCCCTGGAGAACAATACAAGGAAAAGGAGAAGGGGAAAAAAGAAAAAAAAAGAAAAAAAAAGCGAGAAAGAAAGAAGGAAAAAAAGAAAGAAGCACCCTAGAAATACGGTTCAGTTGAGAAACAAGCTCGGCTGCCTCCTGGGGGCCAGACTCGTGCGCGTGCCCCTTCCTGCCCTCCAGAGGAGCCTTCTCGCGGTTTCTCCCTCCCGAGCGGCGCATCCCGAGCGCGGGC